TTTCAATTAATAAAATGTATAATAAAATCACATCTGATCAAAATAAATTCATCTTTAAAATTATCAATCTAACAAGAAGTTAATGAATTTGTACATTCAAAATATACAAGGATAATTTTAGATCAAGTCAAAATACTCTATAATCACAAACTTGCTTTCAAAATAGGCAAGTTATAGAAAATGTAAAAATTCTTTACCACAAAATTTAGATGAAGATATATATTCCATTATAATTGTCTAGTTTTGCTACATTTGGCAGAAAATAATCTACTTCTTAATATGTAACAATCTCAGAGACTCTAGTTTTAATTATATTTTGAATTTATATTTTAATTAAGATTAATAATAATAAAAACCATCACTTCCATAACCACAGCAGAAAATACATTCAAAATTAAAGGCAGCAACAAAAATAAACTATTCACTTTATAATTTATAGAATTAAATTTTAAACTATTACTTGTTTAAAAAATATATTTTACATTGTGTTTTGATTTCTACAATTAAGGAGTTTTTTTAAGCAGAAAGAATGTTTACCTGTAATGAATAAGTAAATCATAACAAATTGCAAACTTAAAAAGACCATCACAAAATCCAGCAAAATAAATTTTTTACTAATGAACTACTGACATATGTGTAGGATATTGCCATATTTCTGGCAGTATAATCTTTGATTGCCCATTCATATGACAATGCTTTAACACAATTTTAATAGAGACATCAGAAAGATAATTCAATCTTTCTTTTGCTTGGTTGGTTATTTTTTTATGATTGATAGCTGGACACATAAAATATGTGGCTTTGCACACAGTTGCATTTGTGGTTTATGGACTGCTACAGGTTTGTGCTCTCAAAGTCCAATAATTCTGTTTTGCATCACTGTTAGCATTAAGAAAAATATCTACAGCTCATTGATAATGATATACATGGGATTATAGAGTATATTCTTTTTTATATTACATTTACTTATTTTTTAAAGATTTATTTAATTATATAAGAACTGGGGTGTGGGCCAGAGATGTGGGGCTGGGGAGGGTGAGAGGATTCACCAAAGACAGAGTGGGTAGCAGAACAGGCAGACTGACTGAAAAACACTGCTGAGGGGAGCAGCAGATGAGACAGTAGAGTTCTGCCATGTGGATAGCTTTCTGGCAGGCCAGGGGATCAAACTCCTGCTGCAGAGGCTGCAGACAGCTTCACAGCACTGTGCTCAACCCGCTGCACCACCAGAGAGGCCCCCAAATTTACTTATTTTTAACTGAGATAATATTAGGATACCTCCATCAGGTACTGTCAACATAGTGTGCTCATCACCAAATCACCCATAGTCCACCACCACAGTCAAGTGTGCCTCCTTCGCTCTTTGTTCTCACTACCCCTCCCCACCTCCTTCACTTCTGGTGCTCCAGTTCTGTATTTAGCTTTTAAAGGTTAGTTTTTAAGCATATTTTCATTTGACTTGGTTTAGTTACTTTATATAGAATACATTCTTAATAAGAGAAAACTTTTTTAATTCTGTGTCCTCTAACAACTGTAATCAGTCATAAGAACTATTACTATATTTTTATCATATTTTTTTATTAAGGTAACACTGGTTTATAACAATGTATATGATGCAGAAATAAAGGATCCCACCTTTCATGTCTATTACTACACCACACCCATCACCAAGACAACCACAATCCTCCATCATAGTCCACTGTGCCCCTTTCTACCTTAGTTTAATTGGAATGGAAGTCATTCAGCAAAACTAATTTAAAATGAATTTTCTTAAAGAGATAAATATTCACTATTCCCTCTTACTTAAACCCATAGAAAATCAAATAAATATGTGCATTAATATTTTCTATTAGAGCTAACATTGCATATTTACTACTGTAATAACTGCAGCTTAGTTAAGAATTAGGAGCAAAGTAAACTTGAACTACAAATGTAAGTATTACTTCCAATTTTATTTCATCTCCCTAAGAAATATTATAGCATGGAATAACTGATTAACGTATAAATACAAATCTATCTTTGTGCACTTTCATAAGCGTTCTTAGCATCAATACATCATTGAAAGGCAAAAATCTATGCTTTTCACTTAGCTCAACCAGAATCTCTTGTTCCTCAAGATGAAAAACAGACTCCAAAACAAACTCCAAATGGTCTTCAGAAAATTTACTTTCTCATGTATCATCTTCTCACACTCAATAAATACAGTGTTTTCATTGTACTGAACAGACAGCAAAGACATTTTTTACCTTGTTTGCCCTGAACTACACGGAGATACCTCAGGTACATCAATTAATATCATGGCAGTTATCACATAAATCTTGTAGATATCCTATCCCAGGAAATCCACTAGTTATTCAAAATCCCATACACATTGCTGACAATGGAGATGAAGTGGTTGGGAGTTCAAGCATTTCTTCTAAGAAACAACCTTTTTCTATTTTAAAAGCTGGCTTCGGAGTGTGCCGATATAGTAAGATATGTTATCAATGTACTTCATTTCAGCAACAACAAAATTATTTCTGTATGTATTTTAAGCTAAAATTTTTTAGTACGAAAAATTTGTATCCAAAATATCAGCATTTCCATGTGGGAGAAGTAACGTACGGTCCCAAAGTAGCTGGCATAGACAAAAAGTCTAAAGGATACATCAAAAAATATTATACATTATATTTTCAGCTCTTTACTTTGGGAGGATGTCCCTCAAGAAGGGTTCTGATGGACCTCACTCACACACCCCAAGTTGCACAGCACACACAGAGTAATCTAGCCATGACCAGTCTCTCTTCCTAGGAATTCCTGCTCTCAACTCATTGTAATCAGGATGAACAAATAATTGAATTAACTACATAACTCAAGGGAAAAAAAAAAAAAGAACAACATAAGGTACAAAAAAAAGCAGAAAAATATGGTAGTAACAATATATACTAGTGGTGAAAGTCAAAAATGGTACAACCTATATAAGGGAGTCTGGTACTAACCTTCCAAATTACAGATGCTCTTTGCTCTGACAATATATACTGCAGGAAATTATGTTATTTTTTAAGAAATCCTGACTTACAGGGATTTTTAAAAATTAATTTATTTTAAATTGAGGTAACATTGGCTTACATTATTGTTAGAAGAACAGGACACCCTCCCCTGCCTTATGTATTGCCACTGTAGTGCACCCACCACCAAATCACCCATAGTCCCACCACCATCGTCCATCATTCTTCCTTCTTTCCTTATTTCTTCCTTCTTTCTTTGTTCTCCCTCCTCACTCCCATCTATCAATACATGCTTCAGTTCTATAGTCAGTTTTCAAGGGCTAGTTTTTAAGCTTGTCATCACCTGACCCTTACCTTGGTTACTCTATATTTCAAAGGAAATTAACGTAAAGATATGTCTGATAAAGAATGGAATGAAAAAGCTATCATGTTTGTGGCCTCTCAAGATGTTAGCCATTATCACAATATAAAGAGATTAAAAACAATTCAATGTCCATCAACTTAGGGTCAATGTAATAAACAACAATCCATCCACATAATAAAATACTAGAGCCATGGAAAAAGAATGCTATGGTAGGTGAAAACAAGCAAGATAAAGAACAGTACAAAAAACATGCTAATGATTATGGGTCACAGATGGTGGAAAGGATTATACCTTTGGGGTTTTAAGCTATTTTAAGTAGCTTATTTTAAGCTATTAGTATTGCACCATGTGGCCTCTCTCTGCACTTGTGTGTGTACTGCCTCTCTGTGCACCCATGTGTATGCATAGGATTTAGAAAAAGGCACCCCTGCATTATAGCCCTAAGACAATGGCCCACATCGTGTGGCAGCTGGGGACATATAGGTAGCCACTGACTAACTGTGTGGCCATGGTCCGAGGTGGTCTGGGAGTAGCTCAGAAATTTCATCAAGAACCTGCACAGGAAATCCTCCCTGTATAGGTGGCCAACATGTCCCCTTCAGTTCCACATGATGCTAATTACCCTTTGTCTCCCCTGGACCCTGTTCCTCCTGCTCATTGTCACATAAACAATCATACCTGTTTATTATTGCTAATAGACAGCAAGAGGGCTGCTTTCTGAGCAGCAGAGTCTTCCCTTGCAAACCTACTCTATGACTCATACCTCAGTGTGTCCCCAGGGAGGAGCTGGCTCTTCCCTTGCAAACCTACTCTATGACTCATACCTCAGTGTGTCCCCAGGGAGGAGCTGGCACATTCCTGACTCAAGATGTTAGCCATTATCACAATATAAAGAGATTAAAAACCATTCAATGTCCATCAACTTAGGGTCAATGTAATAAACAACAATCCATCCACATAATAAAATACTATGGGGCCATGGAAAAAGAATGCTCTGGTAGGTGAAAACAAGCAAGATAAAGAACAACAGCACAAAAAACATGCTAATGATTATGGGTCACAAATGGTGGAAAGGATTACATCTTTGGGGTTTCCAAAATTTTAAGCTATTAGTATTGCACCAGAATAATTTTTTAAAACAAATTCCTGATTTTTCTGGACAAGCCTGCGTATTCAATCCTTGAGCATTATTTAAGTTCTACAAAGTCCCTTGAGAATCTCACAATTCATCAAAAATTAAAAAGAATAATAAGCTAGGTAGCAAAAGATGAGATTTTTTAGTGTATAATCATCACAGAGGAAACTGTTAAGTAAGTTTTAGCTGAACTGCAGTGGGTAGCAGAGGGAACTTGATAAGATGAGAGAGTAAGAAGAGAATTCTCTTTCACAAAACTTGACAGCAAGAGAAAGGGGGCAATGGTAGACGTGCATGGCAATAGGAACAATTTGACATAAGACGTGAATAAATGATGGCGTGAGATCTTACTGAAAGGTATATTTGTAGGGAATAGGACTGGCCTCAAACAAGAAAAAACATTTTTGTTGCTAAATTAAATGAATTACAGGGTATGATGATAGAAATATACAATATTTCAGTAAGTAAAACAAAATATAATCATAAATATATATTGACATTCCATTGTACTTACCAATTCGAGTGATTTTATTATGTGAAAGTTCAAGGTTCTGAATATTAGTGCAGCCATCCAAACCATGAAAAGAAGTCAGTTGATTTTTATTAAGAAGAACAACACAAAGATTTTCCAAATTTTCACAGTTGATACTCTCAATATGGTTTTCCTAAACAAAAAACAAATATATTTACTTTTATTTCAAAATCTTATTAATGACATAATTAAAACTTGCCAAAAGGATGAAATACAATCTCTAAATGAATGTACAATTTCTAAATTTAGTATAGCAATTGCTAATTGCTATACTATCTAGATGAAATTTATTAAGTAACCAATAAAGAACTACTTATTTTGTATTCATTCATAATTTTTTCAACTATAGAAAAAAGAGGATCATATAAGGAAATCTATCAATCTATAGAATAAGAGTGAACATTTGACCATAGTTCATACAAAACTATTATTTAAAAAAAAACAAATACTGGAAAAGGTGAAATCTTCCAAGCTACCCTCTGTCCCTTCTGCCCCTTCCTCTCCAAAGAGCACCAAAGTTATAAATTAGGTCTATATTTCAAGTATAAATTTATGTTTTTACTACACATAAGCATGCCTCAATATATAATATTGGTCTCAGTGTCAAAATCATATGTCAAGGGTGAAACAGCAATTTCTTTTTTTTAAAAGACTTCACAAAGACATAGGGACTTTATTAGAATTTGAAGTGTATAATCCTACAACATCCCTCTCAAAAATATGAATGAATATATTGTCTAGTAGCATGAACTTAATAAAAAGCATAGAACACCCACAAAGTTTTAAAAGAAATTGCATTGGTAGAAGCACTGTCACTTTGAACTGAAAAGAACATAATTCAATATGAATTGAATTCATATTGAATTCAGTTCAATACCCTACCCTATCCTTCTATCCCCCAATTTTCTATGGGAAAGAAACAGGCTGAGAAAAATTCTCAGCTTCAAAACAGGGCATTTGCTATGGAAAAGGAAGTATGCCTTGAGAATGGAGTCAAATGCCCAGTGGGCAGAGCCCTCCCCCCACAAGCCCCCAGTGGTACAGCAGACCTCTCCTTTCTCACCCACCCACTGCTCCCCTCAGCAGTGTTTTTGGTCCATCTGCCTATTCTATTCCCGGCTTTGTCTCTGGTGAATCCTCTCACCCTCCTGCACCTCTGGCCTATACCTCAGTTCTTGTATAAATAAATAAATCTTTATCAAAAAAAAAAAAAAGATCCAGTGGGCAGAACCAAGAGTGACAGAGAACCATTCCTATGAAGCAGAACTCAGTCCCTATTAAGGAACAGGTTCTATTTGCTTAGCTGTGACCAGGGACTGCTATGGACTTCTTGTTTTCTCCCAACTTGAATGGGAATGCCTATTGTGGTTGACCAAGTCTTCTAAGTCTTCTATGTTGATGTGGGGAAGATAGGCTAGGAAAGATATATTGCTTTTTACCTTACAGATATCTGAGAAAACACTACACGAGCAGATTACCTCCATTTGAAGATGATTAATCACAAGATTCTGTGCTTCAAGTCTGAGCCTTATTTCATAAGTTCATGAAGCTTCTTGGCACTTAGGATATGAGTATATTTTTGATGTGGAAAGGAAGTGCATCATTGTGAGCCAGAGGGTGGATTGTTAGCCCCCAATAAACCTCAGCCCATATTCGCACAACAACACAGTCTGCAACACATGCATTCAAGTTTGGCCAACAGAAAACTAGCTAGCATAAGGCAAACAGATGCTCACTAAGCACTTGCATATTAGAGATTATCTCTTCAGCAAGCTTACTTCTGGGGTATGACCAACTATAAAAAAGTTGAAGATAATTAAGAACAAGAAAGAGAATGAGGGAGAGAGAGGTGAGAGGGTGAGAGAAAGAGAGAAAAACTGAATTTCTAAGCTCCCGAGGCACCAGAAAGATGAGAGAAGGCATTTTGAACCTTCTAGACTCAGTTAAAATTACATAAAAAAACAAAGTCAACATAATATGAAGGAAAAGAAAAGCTTGGCCTCAATTTATGACTCACAGAATTACGAACAAATAAAATAGTCGTTGTTTTAATTTAGTAAGTAATGTGGTCATTTGTTATGCAGCAGAAAGTAACAAAAACAGTAGCTACATTATCTGCATATAATGAATATCAGGTCATACCACCTAATCATCTTCCCTCTGATAATTTTCCCTCTCTAGTTTTCATAAGTTTTTGTCCTTCATCTCTTTGAGACCTTCCATTACAGAGGTTATTTCAGTAAAATTTCCTCAAAAATTGTCAATTCCTTAAACATAAACATGTATTTATATTTTAAGATAAATGAGGTTACCACAGAGTGGGTGGAGGGCAAAGGAGGGAGGGTGGACAATGGACTATGGTGAAGAATTACGGGGGCCTCGGTGGTGAGTGTGGTGTGGTAACATGTATTTTAAGAGGTGGGCTTTGTACCTCAGAAGCATATACAGTGTTGTAAACCAACATTACCTCAATTGAAAAGTAATATAATAAAAAGAGGACATACCTGTGCATCAATGTACTTTAGTTTTTTACAGTTGCTCAGGCTGTGTAAATTAGTTAATCCACAGCGTTGAAGAGACAGAAACTGAAGATTTGTACACTCGGCCAGTGTGGAAAGACTACAACCTGGCAAATCTTGAAATGTAACTGTTGTAACCTAGAGAAATTAAGAATATTGTAGTGTATAATTTATCTAACAAAAGTGAACTTAAACACTATTCACCTTACAAAAGTATTTGACAAATTCATCTAGGAAAAGTAATTCTATATCTTGATAAATTCCACATTTATTAATGACTCCATTTCATTTAAGCTTTCTGACTTCTTTTTTTATTCCAATATGAAGGCAAAATAATATAATTATTGACAACCAAGTCAAGTCCAAAAGTAATATACATAGTAATAATAATATGCCCGTTTATCATTTCATTCCCCAGTTTTCCACCAAATTCACTCCCCTTGTTTTTCATGCTCTTGGCAGGATTGCACTACATGAATGGTTAATATCTTTGTTTGACAGTATCCTAAGGATACCTGGATAGACTCAGGAGGCATAACAGGTCAGGGAATAGATTTTGCATCCAACCTTCAACTAGGTAGCTCAGCTATCTTCCCAGAAAGAAGAAAGCTTGAGAAGAAATATTATAGAACATTTATAAATAGACCCCCACAATAATATCACATAGTCAATAATCACATAGTCACATTGACTATGTATCACATAGTCAATAATAATTTGACTATGTGATACAAAAACATTCTGTTACAAGCATTTTATTATAAATATATCAATCATCCTTTACTACTGAATTATGACTATATCCAGAGCATTTTGAGTATCAGGGGAAATAAATCATGAATAATTTTTCTGTATTTTTCAAACATTTTGAAGACCAAACATCTACCCGTTTTTATTATTATTATTTTTTAAAGATTTATTTATTTATTTATTATTTGTTTGTTTGTTTGTTTATACAAGCACTGGGGACAGTCAGAGGCACCGGAGGTTGATAGAATTCACCAGAGGCAGAGCAGAGAGGAAAACAGGCAGAGTGACGAAGTACACTGCTAAGAGGAGCAGTGGGCCACAGGAGAGGTCTGCGTGCCATGTGGGACCCTCGCCCAGCGGCCGGGTATCGAACTGGCACTGC